CGATGCCGCGATAAGCCGTAGAAAACTACGCTGGAAGCGGTACCGGTGACAGATTACGCTCGTGACTGCGATCCGCCGTGCGCCACGTATACACGGCGACGTCTAACGTTCGACGAACCAGCCACCGCACCGCGAGAAGAAACGCCGCGACGAATTTCGCCTGATGTGTCTATCCGCCGGCAAACGAGTCTACCTTCGAGCGGAGGGAGACAGGTAGACGCGGTTGCTGTGAAAAATATTTCGACACTTTGGAAACGACCTTTGATATGTCATATTTCAATGAAATATTAATATTTAGTATTTTAACGAAATCTCAAATTTCATGAAAATATTGAATTAAAGTTTAAGTTTAAAATTCTGTCTTTTAATTTTAATATTTAATATTTGAGATATTGCGAATACGAATGATAAGAATACTGTACGATGCTCGACTCGTGAACGAGACTGGGTTCAGCTCGAACTCGGTTAGTATCGTTGCGCTCCCGATGGGCGAAATTCTAGTAGTTGGTGTGGTGACGGTAAGAATATTTTTGAACTCTGTTTATTTGCGGTGGTGCGTGGGTATATATTAGGTCGGTGTATGTTGCGATTGGTTGGACGTTGAAGGTGGTGGAAAAGAAGGTCTCGAAAAATGCGGAGGTGTGATTGGATATTAGGAAACTAATGGAAGGAGAACGTGAGGGTGAAGGTGGTGTGCAAAAGTTGAAATAATTTGGGGAAAACCCGGAAAGGGATAGGAAACATGACCAGGATGCGGCTTGAACTGTTTTATGATAGGGAAGGAATTTGTTAGGGGCCAGGAAGACGGCTGGAAAGGACTGTTTATTAGTTTATGATGTGTTACTGGCCGGTGGGCTGCGCGACCGGACAAATATTGTACTTGGAATGTTAAAAATATTCTTTTTTGGACATGTTGACGCTAATCAAGAATCCTGATGAGATTTTAAGAGAGATTTCTAATGAGAAATTCCTATTCCAATGATTCCTCTTCTGGCAATTAATTGATACTCTAAACCAGGGGTCGGAAAACTGCGGCCCGCCATCAGTTTTTTTATGGCCCGCGAGTTGTGTACAGTTAAATGTAAAAGAATTCCATATTTCGTATTAATAAATGTGTATTACAAATAAAGGATTTGTCAAAAAATTTTAATTTGTAGTCAACTACCTACACACACGCATACGTAATGATCTCAATTTTCTCTCTTGACCCACAAAGCCAAAAGATATTTAGTACCTGGCCCTCCAGAAAAAAAGTTTGCCGACCCCTGCTCTAAACAACAGAGTCACTCTTCGTTCACCCCGAAGAAATCTAATCTACAAGAATTTCACAGACTTTCAGTCAGAGGCAACACAGACGTTCCAAAAAAAAACAAAAAAAACGGAAGCTACAGTCACAGGATCTTCGCTACTATCATCCGTAATTAAGAACAGCTTCTCACCTCAGTTACAAGAAAAAGAAAAGAACAGCGATCACCTCAAAAAATCGTGCGCCCAAATCCTTAAAATACCCAAAATACAGAACCTCCATTTTCTAATACTCCCATAACCCTTAACCCATCCACTCCAAGAAACAAACCATTCCGCTAACCCCGAGAATGATCGCAGCAAACCCCCCTCTAACGCACTAGAACGACCGGAAAATGGAATTCTCAAGATCCGAAATGCTTAAAGTCGGATGTGATACACGGTGTAAAATCGTGGTAGAAAGGATACGCTTCACTCAGGAAGGAGAGAAGGAGGTCCTCCTGGCTGGTTCTCCCCACGTTTTTCCCTCTTTTTCATTTGCCAGGGCATTAAGCGGACGAGGCGGCCGCTCGGATAAGCCGCAGAAAACTACGGGGCGAAAGAGAGAGAGAGAGAGTGGTGGCTGTGACAGATTACGCCGTGCCACACGATTCACCGTCTGCCGCTAAAGCCGGCTGCTGGGAAGGAAAAAAGAGCCGGCTGTGGATGGAGGACGTGGATCCATTCCGGAGTGGATTAGCCCTGGGCCCGCGTTGTTGGTACCTAACACGGATACACGCGTATTTATTAAATCGAGCACTAATCCCTGAAAACAGAGCGTCTGCTGGACATCAACGGACACGAGTGGTGTTTCTGAAAGAATCTCACCACGCTACTTGTGCGATCTTTTCTCTCCCTCGTTTCTTCGGCCAATTTTTCTCTTCTTCCTCCTTTCTTTCCTCTTCGAGGGGGGATGAAGAATTCTTGGAAAGTACGAAATGGGATAAGGTAAAGGAGAAGTCGATGACGTGAAAATAAATGAGGGTACCAGGCGGATACGCGAGCGTAGTTCAGAAGCATAAATCTCTCCTCTGACTTGGTAAGATTCATCGTCTGGCGAATATGATCGCGATTAGATCCGATCTGCAACCATTACATCGCTAATCGCCTTAATTGAGCCTGTTTGTACGGGGGAAGGGAGCAGGAAGAGCCTTGTACCATACGTAATCGTTTCCTTATGATAAATCTGACGATTCTTCGCTTAGCTTGCAGACTTCCTTGCACCGGTGCGAAAGGAGGATGTGACATTATGGCCATTTTTTGGGGAAACGGAAAATTCCTTGCTGAGCATTTGAAATGTGATGGGAAAGTTGTGAAAAAGCGAATGGTTCGTCTTCTTCGGATATTGATCCATCTCGAATATAATTCTTGATCGAAAATTGATGCCGGCGAACGCATTTTTGTGATTACAATCTTCCACTGATTTAGATGCAGATTTCCTCGAGAATTATTTTCCAGATGGATCAATATCCGAAGAAGATCGACAAGTGCCATTTTTTCATATTTGCACTAATCTTCCCAAACTTCACGAAACTTTTACTTCCTCAGGAGATACTCTTAAATGTCCCGGAAGAATTTTTCTCGTGCCCAAAAATAGCCACATTGTACCATTCTCCTCTCCATCGAATTGCCGAACATTCTACATATTTGCACATTTATCTATCTGCTGAACTATAGAACGTGTGCGGTAGTGTTTGTCGCGAGCCGCTAACGAGCACGTATCTCTCTTCTCTCTCGGTCGGTTCGTCTCTTTTCTGGCCTCCTTCTTTCCCTCGCGAAGGGCACTCCAGCTTATATAAGTCTTATAAAGAGCAAAGCGGCGGACCACACACATCCGATCCTATCTGCAGCCTTCTCTCTGTGCGCTGCGCCACAGCCTTTCTCTCTCTCCTTCCTTTTTACCACGGGGACAAACTCTCCGCGTTCTTTCTCCCCTCTCTTTCTCTCTTTCTCCATCTCCGGCTGGCGCAGAGAGACGCGCGGCGCTCTCGTAGCCCGCTTAAATGCGCGTTTCTGCGCTCCTTTCGCACGCCGGCCACTTACAGATTACGGTAGATACTCCGCTCGCGATTTATTCACGGTCCTCCCTGCCTCACTTTCCTCTTTATCGATTCTCTGCCTTTTTCCCCGCCTGTTATTATTCCTCTTGATCGCTGTTTTTGCAGACACTGGTGGTAGAGATAGCGCGGGATGTGAATGGATTTCTTTTTTTTTTGGTAATGTTACGAGAGAATGACTTTTTGTTTTGGATTTATGGATATCGATCCTCGTTACTTGTTCGTTTAATTAGATTTTAGAGTGTGAAATGTTTGGAGACTTACCCCGTTCTGTTTGGACGGCGAAAGATCACAGGTGACCCGGAAACAGAAGGTAAGAGAATGAGAAAGGATTTTTATTGGGGAAGTAATGGTGATAAATTTTGAAATAGGTGGTTATATATGTATAGGTGCGTGTATTGGACGACATTATGCGGGTCGTAAAGTTATTCGCGATGGCACCGTATGGTACTAAAAAATCCATACGCACTCTCTATACGCTCACCTTTGCATAATGTCCTTTAAAAAAAGAAATACTGCCACGGTGCGTTTATGATCCGGGCTAAGCAACTCGCGCGCGATAAAACTGTCGCGAAGGACGTTACGTGAATTTCGAACGGATTTTAGAATAGTTGGGTGGCTGCTTTCTTGCGAAATGTCAAAGGTCCAAACTTTAAATATTTGAATTCTCAAATTATCAAACGTCCAAATTTTTAAATATTCAAATTTCTCAATATTTAAGTTTCCAAATATTCAAATTTGCAAATATTTAAATTTCTAGGTATTCAAATTTTCAAATATCTAAATTTCCAGATATTCAAATTTTCAAATATTCCAACTATTAAATATTCAAATTTCTCAATATTTAAGTTTCCAAATATTCAAATTTGCAAATATTTAAATTTCCAGGTATTCAAATTTTCGAACGCAATTTTCGAAAACTTTCGAATATTCAAATTTCCGGATATTCAAACTTTCAGACCTTTAAATTGTGAAACATTCAAATTCCCATCTTATGCACTCACCGTCGTCTCATTAACGCTCTTGATGTACTCCTTGTAGGTACCCGCGATCAGCTTCACGATGTCCTCGTCCCCGTGCTTAGCCGCCCAGTGCAACGCCGTCTGTAACATAACCGACAACAACGTTAACATCGTCAACAGGTCCGATGATAAATCGTTCAAAAACCTGTCCATGCTCCAGAATAGAATAATCAAGCCTACAGGGATTATACTCAGGTACAGCGGTGAAACGACAACAAGACGTACGGCGATACAACGAAGATATCCAGTGAAGAAACAAAAAAAAAAAAGAGAGAAAAAGGGGGGGCGAACGTAAAAATACGCAACGACGGAAATTTACGGGCGGTCTCGGAAATATTTCGAAAAAATCGCGACGGTGGCCCGGTTGTAGACACGACGCGAGCAGCTGTAGCGTATTTTCAGACCGCGAGGCCCCGGTGAAATATTCGCGAATTAAGCAACGGCACCCGGCCACGTCGACCGGAACGAGCTGGATGAATGGCGACGTCGGACAGCACTCGTGAGGAGAAGGAGGTGGAGCACTTTGAGAGCAGTCGATCACCGCGAGAGAGGCTACAGGAGAGGGAAGAACGCAGCTCGACAAAACACTCGTCTCGTGGAGACCTCGTCGGGGATCGTCGTTGGAAGCTCGAATTACTTTCCGTGGATCTCCACGACGAAGGAGAAAAATATGAGAAAAATCTTCGGAGGAGGAATTGGAGGTATATTCTTGGTGAATTCTTGGATCTACTTTAGTTAGAATGCGTCCTTTCCAGGGAAAATCCGAAGAACTTCAATCGATTCAACGTCTTTGTAACGAAAGTTAATTATGTATAGTCGGTGGAAGAAATACAGCGACGTCGTAAGATTGGTTAGACGCCAAAGTTTGCACAACACATATCTGAGAAGATAAGGGTTCCAAAACCGCAGTTAGGGTCGTTTAAAGTATGCCTTAATTTTGCTTCAATCCCAAAATGCAAATCGAAAACGTAAAATGCCTCACAGTCAAAGAACTGAAGAATTCTTCAGGTGTACAATCAGTGGAAGAAATATAGCAAAATTGTAAGTTCGTTCAAGCGCCAAAATTTATATATTACGAACCTCAGTTGGGGTCGTATAAAGCATGCCTTAATTTAGATTCACTCCAAAACGTAAAATGCCGCATAGTCGAAGAATTTTTCAAGTGTACAATCGGTGGAAGAAATATAGTAAGATCGTAAGTTCGCTCAAAACAACACCTGAGAAGATAATGGCCTGAACCCTCAGTTAGGGTCGTATGAAATATGCTTCAATTTCAATTCAGTCCCAAAACATAAAACGCGACCCTAGATGTCACTGCATCAATCGATACGCCCACTTAACGCTTCAATTTACGACCCCGCTATATTTCTTCCACCGACTATACATAAGTATCCACAGGGGAAGGTTTCAACGTGCAAGCAGGAAGTTGAGTGGTATTCTTTAAAATTGCGGTTTAAATTGCGCGTTTACGCAACGTGTTACCGCGAATAAAAACGCAAAGTATAAAAATAACCAGTGAGTAAAAGACGTAAAGAGGTCGTTTTTAAATCCAAAACGCTCGTGTCTGTGCCCGGTTGAGGCGGGCCCAGCCTCGTTTAAGCGTTGAGTTATATCCAGGCTGACTTGCTTTGACATCGAGCCGTTCAAATGCCCGGCTATTTCCATATAGCGGGTTATCCCGACCGTGGATTATTTCGAGCATATACGTTATTATTCTTTGCAAGTTAGCCGTGACGGCTCGTAAATTTAATGGCCGCGGGCAGCTCTCGCAAAAACGCGCGCGTCACTCGTCCGCGCGTGCACAGTTAAATGTCGCTGTCGCGAGTAGCGCGTGGCACTGTCGATTCACCCTTCACATTTATACCAACCACTCTTCCTTACTCTGTTATCATTATCTCGGAAAATGTTTCTTTTGCGGGGTCTGGCGGAATAATCTTACAGTTTTCAAAGGTGAACGGAAAAGGTACCACAGATATGTACAATAATTAGCATTTTCTTTTAAAAATTACATAGTCTTACATACTCTCGAAGTTTCACCCTGAAGTGAGTCTCTCAGCTTTCTTGACCCTTCCGACCCGACATCGGTACCGCTCTCCTTTCTTAATTATTCGGTACAATATAGTTTAGGGCTGAATTTCAAGTCGGCCGTGGTGAACGGACTATTAAATTTCACGTCGGCCGTAGGAAGCGAACTACTGCAAACGCCGTCGGGTCGGAAGGGTTAACACTGGAAGTACTGGCCGGGTCAAAAATCACCCATTAGCAACTTTCCAAAAAATGTGATAAGTATTATCGTTTGTTGCAACTTTTTCATTTCGTTTCCTGCGTCGATATGAACCTAATTTTTTAATCACGGTTTGGTTACATGAACATTCCCTTTTGGAAAGTGGCCAATGGGTCAATTTTGACCCAGCCAGTCGTTCTAGAATTAAATCTGAACCTGCGGACCTCAGCACGGTGATAAGACAGTGCTCGGTTGAAGAAACACAGTGGCAAACATTACGCTTCCCATGATGCTTCCTCATTTACCTCTCAAAACCGCGAGATCACTCTACCGTACCCAGCACTAAACAACACTTTGCACCAGAAAAATACTTACAGAGTACATTTTTTAATTAAAAATTCTCCAATTAACCCTGTCACACGTGTACTCGACTGAGCGACAAGAGAGAACAGCTAATAATCCTCAGCTGCTGCTGCAAAAAAGAAAAGAAAGAAAGCAACAAGATGTCCGTGGGCAGCGTAACAGCGTTGGGCAAGGAGCGGCGTATTATACGCCCGTGGTCGAAGCGTAGAGGGTCGCGGCTAAGAGAGAAATATAGGATCCGGCAACGGGGATATAAGCAAGCGGTCGCGGTGGCTGCAGCGGACATGTATTTTAATTCCGTCAAGTCCGCGTTCCCGTGGGTAGATTAAAAATAGTGTCCAGGTCTCCAGATTCGCGCCGCGGACCGTCATAGAAAGCCGGACGTCCACCTGATCTGTGTGGCGGCGGCGGCGGCGGGGGCCGCGAGGGGAGACGTTGGCGCGGCGGACCGTCTGCACCGGTACCAGAGACAACTTGCAGGCCACCTCATTAGCGGCGGAAAAACTCATCCTAACGAGGCTACGTACCTAATGACGAGAACCACGCGCGCGCGCTCCTCTTTCGTGTATGCCTATTTACCCGCGTTTGCCTCTGTGTAAGAGACTTTGTACGTGGCCACAGTAGTCGTGTCACTGCTACTACACACGGTCCACAACCCTAACCGTGTGTATCCATGTGTGTGTGTGGCCACGTGTGGGGTGCACCTTGTGCGCCCACTAGCCCTATATGCGCTGACTCTCCACGGCAAATTAACGAGCGACGCACCGAGAGGATATACGACCTCCTGCTTGATATTAGAGGCACGTGGCGCCAATACCGTTGGCTCGGCCAACGGAAACCACTGCTAAGGACGAGTCGAACGATCGGAATCGGGATCGTTGCTGCTTCGGTGAAGAAGCTCGTGGTAGATGTTGGCTGAGTTTGAAGATTACCCGATATCGCGGGTGTATCTTGCGCTCATCTTTTTCGGAATCGCAGGTCTAATTGTGAGCGAATAGACGAGACACGGGTCATGCTCTTGGGAATGTGTTTAAATACAGGGTGGTCTGGTGAACATGGCTGTCTCAATTATTTTCGTTATCGGGAGAGATCGAAATTTTCTTTGTCACGTTGGGGGAACCGTCCTGTATACCACTTCGCTGATCTCTCTCTAGGGTCTCGAGAGCAGGTGACAGATCTCCCTCGAAAGAACTGTCGTTCATTATCGAAGGAATGCATATTTGTGTTTCCTCAGGATGATCGTCTTCTCACAGGATATTAAAGCACATTTTGCGATCAAATACAGATTCAAGATACAACGCCACGCATCTTACTCCCTTTGGAATCTCCCAGATACCAAAAGACCAAGGAAACACCGCCCCCCGCGGTAAACTCTCATCCTCGACAACCCCGTGAACAACACGCGACATCAAAGCCAGAGAGAGGGAGACAGAGTGTGTGTAAGCAGAGGTACAGATTCGAGGAAGACGGGGCACAATGAATCTCGTTTACCCCGGCAGGACAAAGGAGGTTTGCGCGAGCGCTAATCAAGATTAGGATCAGCCTGGGCGACAGACGAGCGGCGCGCGGTGATCAGAGGCGAGCGAGAGAAACACGGTCCCGCCTAATACGTTCCGGCGCGAAAGATGCAAGAATCCGGGGGAAATTACAACGAACCGTGTGGAAACAAAATGAATTTTTACGGTAGCCAACCCCTCTGTGGTCGCTGGATGGTGTGCTCGAGAGGGTGGCTGGTCCGCGGAAAGAGAGAGTGAGAGAGAGAGAGAGAGGGGCCATCAGCGCGTTTCTCTACGCGCGGCGTATTATACCGCGGCGGCCGTCTACTTGCAGCCAGCTAACGAAGTTTTATGAAGCGCGATAGCGCCATACCTACGCCGTCCCGTGGACTTTGGCGCTCCTTAATTTGTGAACGCTGCGCGCACACACTGTGTCGGCTGCCGCGAAAGAATGGTATGTCGGCCGACAACGTGATATATCTTCGGTCCTGTGCCCTGGACCTTCCTCGGCCACCGCGCTGCCTGCCTGCCTGCTTGCTTTGCCTCTTCTCGGGGCTATACACGGTAGCCACCGTCTTCGCGCGCGCTCTTTACCGCTGGGATTCCCCGCCGCTAGAAATCCACCTTTCCGCCTCGTCATGCGTGAGAACCGTCGATCCTCTGACCCCCTCCCGAGGCGGAGTGATTTGTGATTTCTGCCACCCTCTTTGTTCCGCGATCTTGCACCAGCCCGTGCCGCGTTCTTGCCTCATGTCGCTTCGCTCGCCCGGATTAATAGCCGGATCGATGGGTTGTTAATTGCAGGGGACGTTTTATAGGCTGTTACGCTGCACGGTCTGGGTTACTTGGTTTGGCGCGAGCAGCGACAGTTGTTCGGTGCTGTTTGGAGCAGTATTTCTTGGTTGTTAACCCTTCGACAGTTTATCCCGTGTGAGAGACGGGCAGAGCTAATTTACTCTAATTTAACTGTTTAGCTCAAGAGAGACTCTTTGGAAGGA